AAATCATGAAATTGTCCTCAAACTGTTAAATTTAGTTGTTAAATTGCACCAATAAGTTTTAAATTAAATAAATTGTCACACTGATTGATGAGCAAGTTTCAATTCACTGTAGCCATTGGTATGAGGAAGAATTCGAATTTATTCCACATGAATGAATTAAGATTCACGTGATTGTGCCATAATTTTTGTTTAGCCAAAGTGTAACTTTTGATTAAAAAGATAAGTAAATCTCAGCCTTTGCCTACAAAAGATTCCTTTTAATTTTTTAATTTTGAGTTATCCGATAATACTTTGTTTGATCTATTCTATTTCCTTCCTTTGACACTAAAGAATCCTTCCATTTATCAAGAGATTTCCGAGCAAATCTCTATCAATATTGCTTATCATGTCCTCTACTCTCTTCATTACTAGCCAATACCCTATTTGAAGGCGCAGATGTCCGTTTTTTTCATTAAGTGGTCCTCAATTTTTCCTTCTGAAAAGGCATCTTACAAGAAGATGATATCTTGCCGAGGAGGTTGATAAAAAGATCTGTGCCTTGCATGGTTGTTAGCTGAGTTGAAATGTGATTTGAAGTGGATAGGAGAGATGCAGAGTTAGTCTGCCACCCCCTATCGGTAAAAAGTCTTGAGCTTTGTGTCACAGTCAAAGAAAAGTGAGGGTGGGTTTAGGCGGGGGGAGGGTAGGGTGGGGTTATGGTTGCTTGCTCGCATGCTTCCGGCGTCCAAGGGAGGGAGGAGGATTGGTGAAAATCCAGATGGTTTGGAAGGATGAGCGGCGGCCGCTGATGGGGGTAGAGACGAGAAGGTATCTTCTCCTAAAATTCTGTCCCCCACACCACCACTTCAGATTAGTCTAATTTGTATTCCGATTTGATCTGTACTTACTGTCGTTTTCTCAATTAATATAACTGCCTCTGGTTACGAAAAAAATTAGTTAAAGAAGAAGAAATTGGATGCTTTTATCTTAATTGAAATTAATGTGCTATTCGAGGAATTAAAATAGTATATCATGTTGATTATTTCTGTTTCTCATTTGGCGTGTAATGCGCTTTTTATGATGTCCGTAAATAATGGTGTTCGTTGGCAATAATAATTATAAAATGATTCTTTCGTACAACAAGCAATCATCTGTCCGAAATGTAGATTAAAAGTGCTAAAAAACTTTCGCCAGTCTTAAGCCATTGAGAGGTTGAAATCCCTTCGTAAACTTAATATACGGTGGTGCGGTGGCTCTTCAACTAAAAATCCACAAAGAATTGTTAGGTTGTAATATACTTAGAAATTTTTCTGGGACAAAAATTGCCATTTATAAATTCAAATTACTGTTCTTCCCTTTTCCGAAGTACTGATTTGTCCACCCCTTTTCTTGAAACACTTTTTTTGATCTTGGTGACTAATTATCTAATTTCATGGATGGAGGTTTCATGTCTCTGTTAATTAATTATTAATAATGTAGTGCAAACATAAATGAAGATTGCAATATATGGTAAATGATTCTCAGCCACGAGTGTGAAAGAGTTAAGATCGAATAACTAAAAATAACTATTTGATAAAGTATTCCAATCAACTTTCCGGCAGTTCATTCAATCAGTATCTTTTTGTTAAAACTGAAAGCAGTTGTTCTCATTCATACTACTAATTAATGATAAGTAGTTGGGAGTACGCATTGCTTCACATAGGACGTTTGTTGAACGATATATAATTATTACTATAGTTTATGGATTTAACTGATTATAATTGATAGTATTTCTTACTTAATGACACACTAAATACAGTTGGTTAAACTCTATTATTCAAACACGGCTCACTGAACAAAAATGTAGTTAATAATTTTTTTAAAATGACAGTTTCCACTATAGTAATTTCAATATTACCTCTATTTAGGCAACTCTGACGGCTTCGAATTCTGGATCATCTTGGTTTATCACAACAATGTCAGGATCTGCCGAATCCGGGTCTGCGTCGAGATATGAGGCAATCATTTCATCAGCTGAGGGACGCTCGAATTGGATGACGAATGATGTCAATACAGAAGGGCGTGAAGATGGCTCCTCGTCATTTGAGCCTTCTGAACCTCATTTGGTGGATCGTTTTGCCATTTTCTCGTCTCCAATCGCATTCTGGGCTGCAACGATATGTTTAGCTGTCGCTACTACCATTCTCCTTGGTCTCATATGTACGTTTATTATTATGGCGTTCAGAAGACGGGGGAAACCTGGAAGAGATGGAGCTGGACCCCCTTCAACGACCGGATTGTACACCACGAGTGCTGTAGAAACTGCAACAGCCCCTGGATCCCATTGCTTATCGATCGATGCTAGTACCCTACCCTCAGGGGATTCTAAGACAACCTTGAGATTGACGCCTTATACTGGTGGGTTGGTATAATTTCTGTTAATTATCACCATCGTCCTCCCTATCTATTTCTTTCAAAGTTGTCGAAGAGACGGAAATCATATTCAGCGATCTTAAGTTATACATACTTCGAAATCCTGACACACATCTCATTTTCCCTGACATGAAGGACTGGTAATTATAATACTAATATAGAATAAGTTGATTAATTCCTACTGTCCTTCGACTTCAATGTAACTTTTTTCTTCAAAGAGCTGTATTGAAGGGAAACTAAGAAAATAACACGTAAACTAGTGAGGATTTAAAGCGCACCTACCAATCCCGATGTTCTCAAACTGGGATCTGGTTGGGTTATACAACGATTTTATAAAATTTTAAAATTAGTCAGTGGGTTAAAGTGGGTTGGGGGGGAGGGTGCAATATGCAGTACAAAACCGTAAAACATAGGTACTAATTTCTTTCCTATTCTAAAACTAAGATCACGTGATTAAATACGCTTGTTTGCTTATTTTTATTAAGCTTACTCACTCTTCGGCATTTGACCTCAGTCTAATCTGGGTTGCCGTCGGGTAGATTTTTTGTTATTTAATCTAAGTTTTGAAATTCGCATTCATTCCTCGGTGATCTGTTATAATTGGAAGATATAGAGGGATTTACCTAAAAATTTGTTTAGCTTTTGGTGTCATGATTAAAATTTTTCTTCCATTAAAATATAATATAATAATGTTCAACTGAGCCAGACAAGGATCGAAGCTAAACTTTAGATGAGTAGTATTCTTGCCGACACTTAAACGATTAGAAGAAACATGTATATAACTTAACACAAACGCTAATATATTAGTTGTTGCGGCTTCCACTTTCCTCTTAGACGGTGTGCACCTTGGCTTGCTCTCTAACTGGGCAAATTGTATTCCATGTTAGTGTTTTCAACATCCACTTAGCGGTGTCACTATGTGTAGTCACGGCTGTTAAATATAATGCAAAACCGGGGAGAAATCAGTTACAATCCTTCAGAATAGGCATTGGTCACACTGCTTGAAATGGCATTACGTTAATCCGAAGGTATTTACCTACGCAGAATTTTAATGGAAGTACACAAAAAAATGAAGCCACACCTTGAGTCCTAGTGGCCTAATGGATAAGGCGTCGGTTTCCGGAGCCGAAGACTGTGGGTTCGAGTCCCACCTAGGATGGTTTTAGATTTTAACCTTAATGAAACACCCTAATTGCTATTAATTTCAAAAGAGCAATTTTTTTGAAAAATCTTTAAATTTGATGTGAAATCAATGTTATAAAACATCCTTATATGCTTGTAATAACTACTTACAATCATATAAGTAGAAACTATTAAAAAGTTCACTATTTAAAGCTTTAGAAAATTCGACAAACAAGAAAGTTCGAATTTGTTACTCGGGTTCACCAACTGATGCAAGTTTCTACGATTGGCCTCAAATAAAATTCGATCAAGGCAGAAAGCTACAAACAATGATGAATCATCAATTACAGCAACAGAATGATTCCTCTGCCTATCAATATGGCCGTATGCGAGCTCTGGGACAAGAAGTACTTCTAAGTGGATTCGAGGTGTATCAACCACTTCTATCTATTGCAAATAATACAGGAGGAGCCGCCACGAGTACGACATGGATACAACCGGGTAGAGATAGAATATCATCGAAAGGAAGCGACAAGACAATCAGTGATAATATGGAGCTCACAGCGACACAAGAGAAAAACGGCAATAATATGGGAATGGAAAATATTTCCAAAAGCACAAATAGTCTCCATATGCAAAAATTTGAAACAAGTTTTGTCTAGCTGACTTGAAATAAACTTGATTCATGAAAATGAATAAAACTGAATAAAAAATATTTTATCAAGTCATTATTAAATTTCGAATAAATTTCCCAAATTCGATCTCGTTTAGGAAGAATTTAAAACACATGGAAAGGAGCAGGTCCGCAAAAACAAAAAAGATGGAAGCGTTATTGTGAAAAGGGAAGGGAGGGAGTGAGGGAGTAAGGAAGTAAAGAAGTAGGTGGGGGGAGAGTAGAGAGGGTGATGTGAGTGTGTGTTAGAAATGAAGTGGAGGCCATAAAAGGCGTTTGCGTGGGCTCAGCCGGGATTTGAACCCGGGACCTCGCGCACCCGAAGCGCGAATCATACCCCTAGACCACTGAGCCCCAACACAGACTCCCCCCTCCATCTACTCTCCACATCCACTTCATGCATACATTCACTCCTCGTCGTGCCCTCGTCCACCGCCATTGCGCTCTGGCAAGACACACATAAGATTGCCGCACACCGTGTAGAGCCATCTACTTGAATGTGTGGGGTAGAGCAGAGCAGAGCAGAGTAGGGGAGGGGAGGGGAGGGGAGGGTAGGCGAGGGGAGGGTAGGCGAGGGGAGG